TGTGTGTTTTTTTTTTTTTTTTTGCCGCTTTTATACTCATTCTTGTGCCCTTCATTGTTTGCCTGTGCCTAATTAAGCGATAAGCCAGTGGCTGCTTTTCTTCGTGTTTGCTTGTGTGGGTGTGTGTGCCCGGAGTTGTGTGTTCTTATGCTCACGCCGGCAGCTATCACCTATGACGAAGTGGGTGGTTAGGCGCCTGTTGGCATGCTAAATAGCTGTTGAGTCTCTCATTCATTCTTATCTGAGATTGTCGGCACACACATACACTCTCGCATGCATGCGAGTGCGCCCTGAGGTGAGCTTGCCATTTGTAAATACGCCTAACTATACTTACTCATTTGGTTTTGTTTTTGTTCGAGCGGCAGTGCGTCGAGCCCGATGCACTGTAATTACCGGCTAAGTGTTTTGACTGAGTGGCCAGCCAGTAAGGAGTGTGCATATATGTGAAAGATAAGTACATGTGATGCAGAACACGAAAACAATGTAAATGATTTTATAGCGCCAAAAATGCGATCTATATAATCTACCTAAAACATTTCTATGAAAGAACGAAAGTTGCAAAAATTTTCAAGTTTTACTATGGAAAATCTAAGCTCATTATATATTGCTTTAGCCTTGATTATTTTTTATTTTTTTATATTTGAAACTTTTTAAATAATAGATCTAATCATCTTTCTTATAAGCTAAACTCTAATATAATTGAATTTTTTGAAATATTATTGCTAAATTGCAGTTTTTTAAACGTAAAAAAAGAGAAATGTGTACTTCAATAAAACCATCTCTGTGGCGATCACTATTGATACTGTCTTACTATTTGGCAATATATATTTATATACTTTATTGAAAGTTTTAGCAGTTTAGTTATCAAAATCGAACTAAAGATTTCACAGATTTCTTGACAAATAATTAAGGGCTCAAAGAAGTTAAAATTAATATTTTCTGTTTAACAATAGCTAATATTGTACGGCTAAATTTTCATTGGTTTTTATTTTGAACAGTAAATTGTATAAAATGTTTAGTCATAAATTTGACATATAATATTATGGGTTTTGAGTTATATTGTCTGCAATTGTCTAAATATGCAGTCAGCATCCTTAATATATTCAACAGTCTATTGTTAAGAATGCCTAATAACACTGGTAGACACATAATTTGTTACATGAAAATTTTTAGGTGTCTCTAATGCAATTTGATACCCTGAAATCAAATCTGACAACAGAATTTTTCTATCACCTACAGATTTTACCAAACTGCTATGATTAAATTGAAGTGTGAATTTTTAATTTATACTTCGCTAGTTTTTCGAATCGGCTTTCTTCTCTTTCTGTCAATTGATACTACTGTCAGTGACATTTGTGCTAAATTTCACGTCAAAATATTCATTAGTATTTGAGATACGCGACGTTTTGTAAGGCTCTAAAAGTGTATTCTGCGATTTTTACTAAGTCTGAATTTATTGAACAAAGAAGTGCGATAATGCACCGTCTCATACTGCATTGGTTATTCGTGATCATTACGCCACATTTTCAACAAATATCGGCCGCAACCAGCGCATTCTCCTGAAACACCTTCGTGAAATTTCTGGCTATCCGAGACAAAAAAACGTTACCACTAGTTCATCCCAAAAAGGTATGACTCCACCTTAACATATTAAATTGGGTTTAATGAAGAATATTGTTAATGTTAATATGAACAGAAATGGAAGAAGGTTCTTGTATCTAAAACAAAAATTTCCAAGAGTCAGTAAAGCAAGAATTAAGTAGGGCATATTTGTGGGCCCGCAAATAAAAGAACTAATGAAAGATAAAACAAGTGCTCAATGAAACTGAAAAATTATGAAATACGAGCCTTAAGTGCCTGTAAAAGCGTTATTAAACATTTTCTTGGAAATGCGAAAGCTGACAATTACAACGATCTTGTGACTGAACTACTTAATGCCTATAAAAAACAGGTTGCAATATGTTCGACTTTCTGTACAGCCAACTGAAGTTTTTCCCCGAAAATTGAGGGGCCGTAAGTGACGAACATGGGGAACGGTTCCACCAAGCCATTTCTGCTATGGAGAAGCGGTATCAAGGCAAGTGGATTTGCAGTTTGCTTGCCGATTTCTGCTGGACATGGTTAAGGGATACTCCAAAGACACAATATTGCTGCTACTCTTTGGTTAATAAAATAATATTTTTATCGCTGTTTTTTTTTAACAAAAATCTTCAAAGGTAAAACTATAGTTAAAATCTGTAGTTATTTTATGCATTTGTGGCAATTTTTATATAATAAACACTTTGTTCTGTTAATGTCACCAGTGGATTTTTGCTTGCCAGTGGGATCAATTGTATCTCGTTGGTGTTCTTTCGTCATTTCAGCCAATAGTCTGCTCAGGAAAAGTTTTAGACTACCGTATACAAGTTTTATAACTGATTATCTCACGTACAGTTAGTTATGGCATCGTTACAGTGGCGTATGCAAAAATAAAATTTTGTATCAGTTCTCATTTAGCAACTTTCCAGAGTCAATTGGTATTCTTACTACTTAAGAAGAATAAAGAGTGGTTGAAAATAAATTAGTTTTGAGTTCATATGGTTTTTTTTGTTCGCAGAGAATCTAGTTTCCTCTTTAACAATCAAACGGTGACTTCTTGATAGCAGTGTGGTCAGGAGCAAATATTATTTTTAAACAAATAGTTAAGCAATTTCATGGAATAAAAGCAGTTAGCTATATGGGAAAACTTTTTCTCTGAGAATTGACGAATGCTCCAAACCAGTTGTGGAATAAAAACGATTGAGTGAGTAAAATTCCTCTCATGGTGGATAGTCTATACATACACAATTCAACGTGTATTCAGAAAGTAACGGGAATTTTAAATTTCACGGACAACTGTAATGATTAATGAAGCCTCGCCTCCATATTCGCTAGAAATGGTGTCGTGTGACATTTTCCATCTCGCAAAAAAATTAAAAGCATTGAATTGTTGGCGTGTATATATATTCCCTTTAGAGTAGAATAGTAACACTGTATCTTATTGAGAAATTTGATCGTCATGTGTCAATTAGTGGGTCCTTGACACTTCTTTGTTTGCTACGTAAAAAGTTAATCTGGCGATTCTTACCATGCAATTTTTTGATATATTGTATTTGCCATATTTTGGAGAAGTGTTTTGTGAAGTATACTTTATCACGAACATAAGTACTTGAGTGGTACAAAGCATGCAGTGAGTGTTGTGAAATCATCGAAAACTTGGCTCATACGTCTCATCCATTCATTTCTGTTAACAAAAACATTTGTAAATTTGAAAGAATTGATAAAAAATGTCTTGCAAAACTACATGTTGATACCAGCGAGATATTCTAAATATATGATGTGGATCTGCTCCACACAATTTTAGTTATTGTATTGTGTATGAAGTGTGACATTGTAGGAATACTACTAAAATACTTGACAACGCAGCTGAGGACCCTGAATTCATCAAATGTATCATTACTGGTGACAAGACGCGGATGACGTTGAAAACAAAAGCGAAAAAATTGCGTAAGAGTCGGTAAAAATAAAGGTGTTGCTCATCATTTTACAAATTAAGAAAATCAATAAAATATCTCAAAATGAATTCATTATTTATTTAATGTCAATCATTAAATTTTATTATAGTTATTGGTGTAGCAACGGGCGCGGACTACAGCTGTTACATGTTACATATGTCTGTATGTTAAAATAATAAAGCTGGCTATGTTCGACTGGATCCATCAATCAATTAGACTGGTGAAAATTTAATAAAAAATCCTTAAACATTTTATATAAACAGTTTCGTTCCTGCCACTGCCAAATCTTCAGTATTTTTCCACAGAAAATTTTCTTTTATAAATTGGTTAACCGAAATTCTAACATATAACCCGCATTCTTCAAAATAATTGCAAAACACATATCTATAATTAATTTTGAATGAAAAACCACTAGCAATCTAAATTGACAGGACAAATTTAATTTGTTTGCAATTCATACTCTAAACTCCGTTATTGCTTTAGCGCAGCAATTCGCCACAAAGTGCTCTTTAACTAAGTAAATTGCGACGGCACTGTAAAGATGCGCCACCCGAGCATACAGCCCACCACTGTAGCGTCTTCAGCAAGTTGAAATGCGAACAACTTGCAACGCCGCACGCCACAGTGAAATTTTAGCAAAATTTAGATTTTACACGACGCCTTTCAAGGAGTCGTAAAATGCAAATTCTCATGGTAATTAAGATTTCGCCAACATGCTGGCGGGTTGCAACTACGCATTGCGGCAGACACGCCCCGATACACACACAAAGCGACTGCAGAAGCGGATGTGTGTATGTGTGTGTGTGCGGCAGAAAGCGGCGACCTCGACTAAGCACAATGAAATTGGAAAATGCAACGAATGAAGACGCTACACGCCGCTGTCGCCTAAGACAAACAACAAAGATGGCGCGCAGCGCGGCAAAAGGTATGGCGAGCGCCAAGACTGTGTGGAGGCAAAAAATGCATATTTTGAATGAGCAAAGAATGTAAAACATGTGGTGCAACGCGGTGGTAAAAGCGTTGACGACAATGTCTGTGACTTGCAACATGCCTGTGTGGCGTAAAGGAATGCAACGCCGCATTTGCATAATTCAAATTGCCACAGTAATTGGTGGTGTTGCTGTTGTTTTTACTGCTATTTGCAACAATGTCGCCTTTGTGACATCCATGCCACGGCTGGCAGCGCCAACATTAGCAACAGCAGTCACATAGGCGGCAGCTAGTTTTTATGGCGCTGCAC